CCGGAAATTTTAAAAAATTATCCAATTATTCAATTATCTAACACCACATCCGATAAGAATATATTAAAACAAAGATAAATTTTTTTATGCACATCGACTACATTTAAAAACTTTTAAATTAAAAAATAACCATATAAATTTTAAAATATACAAATTTATCTAATATTTTTTAATATATATAATATATATTCGGTATAAAAAAATATTCATATAAATTTAAAATTAAATTCATAAATCATTATACATATAAATTAGATCAAAATCTTATCAAAATAGTCGGTTATACATATATATATATATGATTTTATAAATAAAATAATATATAATTTTAGTATATATATTAATTAAACCCATCAAATATATAAATATATATAACATAAATAAAAGATTTTTTATGTTATATTAGAATAAAAATCTAATCATTCGATATGATTCGGGCTAAATGGGCAGGTCAGACGGGTATCGGGCCGGATTCGATTCGGGTCTCAATTTTTTCGGGCCAGACCGACCCACCACTTATTTATTGGGTCTATATTATTAGATCCATGTCCTTAATTTTTTTCGGGCGGGTTCGGGTCGGGCTTCGGATTTCGGATTTAATTGATATCCCTAGAGTTTTTTCGTTGGAAGAATACATGATTTTTTTGACGATATTTCCTTTATTTAATGCTTGGTGCTTAATTTGGCTCAGCAGCCAAGGGAACAGGGCTCAAAGCTCTAGAATTTACTCTCTCAATATGTGATTCAGTTGATATGTATGGTTCCACGGTGGAACCAGGTTACAAAGAATGGTAGAAGGTCTACGACCAATTTTGTTTAGTGATGGACTTATCAGGCAGGTTTACTTTTCACAATAATCCTTTTTGAAATGTTCTTTCAGGACTAGATATTTTTCGAAATCACGACTAAGGCATACACCTTTGCATGGTAGAGCATATTACCAGATGATGGAGTGCTTGGGTGTAAGCCTATGAGTTCTAATTTTCATCATCATGCATCTTGCATTGCAAAATTCTTGAAATACAATGGCTTAATGCCGGATGGGAATGTCTTTATTCAATATCTTTTAGTGACTACTTCTATCTATACCTCAATAACCACTTTATCGATTAACCAAAATTGCTTTGGTTCATAGGTTTCCCAATTTATGTTGTTTTACACTTTTCTTGGCCTATGGGTTATATGACATTCTGATATTGTTTTAGTTCTCTTTAAAAAAAAACAAAGCTTGTTAAAATCCATTCTCCTATGAGAGCTGATCTAAACATAGTCGTGAAATGGGTACCTAGCCGTGATACAATTAGAGCAGCAAGAACTGCAGTAGAGAAGCTGTTAAAGTAATGGATCATAGCAAGTTTAGTTTTTATTGCCATGTGTATTTTCGCCGCTGATGGGCAAACCCATCTTCCTTAATTTTGCATCTTGTGCACAATTTTGACACTTCAGCTGTCAAAGCTTGTGTTTCTGAATTCTCTCTTGAAAAATATATTCAAACACACAAGAGAATTAGAGTAGTATCAGCAGAAGACCCATTGGGCTCTGTCCCGTAATAAAAAAGCAGGACAAATACAAGCGTCCAATGGTGTCACAACTAAGAAAATCTGCGATTGGACATCAAAAATTCGCGAAAGGCGCAACCATCTATTCCTTGGAACATAGTCCAGGGCATGGTCAGGTGTGTGTTGTACCACCTGACTGACTGAGTGATAACAAACACAGACTGATACACAGTTTCTGTAAGAATTCAATCCCCGGGTGAAAAAATTTTGCTTGCGTAGGAGTCGGAGTTTGTTTGGCAACATAGAGAGGATGGGAAACAGGTATGTTACATGGATGAAAACAGATTCAAAAACTGCGAATTTGAAGGAAAAGACTGTCATGATCGTTGTAGGGATTTCAAATGACAATCTTTCTCCAAGGACTCCTTCCCAGCTTATTCCCATCGAATCTCCGAGGTTAGGACTCATCATTATTGTTAGTTTTTATATATGTATTTTTTGTGTGATATTTAGTTTCATTGAGAGATCAGACAAACAAGGACTAAGTAATAGGGGGAAGTAAGGGGTATAGAAATTAAGAGATTTGCTGAATTTGTAAGGCGCTATCAGAAGGTTTTGGTGGGTTATGTGTGTTTCTCTTATTCAATCAATTAGATAGAGAAAAATGTCAAAAGTTGATTATTTGGTTGGCACTCTCAACTATGCAAAGATTCAGATTGCCTAAATATCTGTTTGCAAAGAAATACTTTTTGTTTGTATATCGTAAACTCTAATTGGCGATGGTAATTGGCACATCGGTTTTGTCAATAGATAGATCTAATTGTCTAATGGTTTGAGACATACACATACACATACACACAAATAATGTAAATGTATCTATCTATTTCTAAACCTTATCCCACTCTGATGATGCTCATAAATTAGTTGTACTTCTCGCCGGAGATGTGATAACATATATTTTGGTGACATTTTGGTATATGATGTCTAGTGCATTTTACTCGTTTTTGCATATTTATAGGCATTCTAGAGCACATTTGGTCTCGATATTGTTTGGTTGCTTTCTTTGGTATCAAAACAGGTATTCATGCATAAAAGAGAGTAAAAAGAGTGTAAAACATGGACTACGGAATATCACAGAAAAACGGAATATTTGGAGTTGTTACGGGGAAAAACATGAAGCCTAAAAAGTCAGATCTTGTAAGTGCAATAACTTCTACTCCACAAGCCTAAATCATGCATTTTTCAATATCATTGGAAAGCTCTCTTCAATATCTACGCATAGACACCAAGATCGCATAAATCCGGCATTGGAACAAAAAGGTATGAGCAAATCTGTCAAGTATGTTCGAGTTGAAGAATCGACACGGACCGTGTTGCCTTTGACACGGCCGTGTCGTGTCTGTGCTGAAAAAAGTGAAGATTTGCTCAGAGAATTTGACACTGACCGTGTTGCATTCGACACGACTCGTGTTGAGTTGCTGAAAAAGTGAAGTTTTACTCAGAGAATTGACACGACCGTGTTGCATTCGACACGACCGTGTTGCATTACGGGAAAATTTCCTGTTTTGCATCCGGACTTCCGTTTCCAGTAAAGGAAGAAACTGATCTGCCAAGCTAATAAAGAGAGGATGTCTTGGGCTTTAGAAATCATCGAGAGATCACAGCAGAAGCTAGAGAACTCGAGAGAGAATCAAGACGGAGTTTTCCGGGATCAGAGATTGAAGAATCGTCGTCGAGAGATGGTTGCGAGTCTTCTTTATCTGTTTCTATGTTTCTTTCTATTGATTTAAACTCGTTTGTTGTTATGGGTAGCGAGTAGTCGTTTCACTGTAGCTAGGGATTTAACCTTGTAGGGATTTGTTTGGTTTTTATTTTCCGAGACTAGGTTATCGATACTTGGCGGTTTAATTGAATTGAGTTTATTGCTTTTGATCTTCT